CGGTGCTGCCCATGCCAGCAGGACGGCGGGCAGCTGCACATGGAGGGCGAGGCCATCTCCTTCCAGAAGAAGTTTGAGAACTTCCTCCACAATTCCATCATCATCCCAAGGTACCAGGGCAGGGCTCAGTTGGGAGAGGGGATTCTAGAGGGTGGAGCTTAGGGGATTCCAGAAGGCGGGGCTTAATTGGGGGAGAGGTTCCAGGGGTGGGGCTTCCAGGGGGCGGGGCTTGGTTGGGGGAGGTGGGCCCAGGGGGTGGGGCTTGATTGGGAGAAGAGGAAATTCACTCTCCATTCCTGCAGTGCCATCTTTATAGCCACCTAGGAGGGGGCAGGGCTCAGCCTGAGAGGGGGGAGGGAGATTCTTTTCCCAGCCTCTCAGCTCCATCACCATCACCATCATCTCCACATCCATTGGGGGTAAGGCTTAGCCAGGTTTCAGAACAAGGGGGGTTGCATCATCTCCATGGCCTGGTGGCAGGGGGCTTAGTAGGGGATGGGGGATTCCCGCCCAACCTTGCTGGGAAAGACAAAGACAGGAAGGGAGGTATGGGCTAGTGATTAGAGCAGGGGTTTGTGGGACGACCCTGTCCCTGGGGGCAGAATGGTGGGTGATTCCAGCATTCGGGACCCCTGGGTTCTCTGCCTTGCTCTGGGAAGGAGTGCCAGCCAGCGACTGGAGCAGGGGTCCTCAGAGCCAGAACTCCTGGGTTCTAGCCGGCCTATAGCTCCTATAGTTTGCTTCTCTATGCCTCAGTTTCCCATGTATAAACTGTGGCTGGGGGTGGACAGGGCAGGGGGGCCTGGCTTTGCCAGTCTCTTTGCCAAGGCTGGCCTCGGGGTGGGGTTTGCAGCAAAATCTCGGGTAAGTCTGACTTGTGTGTTACGAGCAATTTTGCTCCCCTCTGATGGTTGGGTCTAGGGCTCTGGCTGGCAGAGAGAGTCACTCCTTTGCCGGTGGGCTCCCTGCCATCCCTGACCCTGCCGTTCGGCACTGTCCGCGTGACTCCGCTAACTAGTCCCTTCTCTTTTGTGTCTTTCCAGACCTCCCTGGAAGGTGACATCTGTCAAAAAGAACCCGCAGAGGTAAGTGAAGCTCAAAACAACCTTGACACACACCGAGTAGGGTTAAAACAGCTGGAGAGGGAACCCAGGAGTTCTGGCTCCCAGCTCCAACCATTAGACCCCTGTCCCCTTCTACGGCTGCAAACAGAGCCCAGGAGTCCTGGCTCCCAGTCCCCCCCTCAGCTTTAACCACTAGACCCCTCTCCCCTTCCAGGGCTGGGACTAGAACCCAGGAGTCCTGACTCCCAGTTCCCCCAGCTTTCACCACTAGACCTCTCTCCCCTTCTAAGTCTGGGACTAGAACCCTGGAGTCCTGATTTCCCGTCCCCCAGCTTTAACCACTAGACCCCTCTCCCCTTCTAGGGCTGGGACTTGAACCCAGGAGTCATGACTCCGAGTCCCCCCCAACTCTAACCACTAGACCCCTCTTCCCTTCTACAGCTGGGAATAGAGCCCAGGAGTCCTGTCTCCCAGCCCACCCCCGAGCTTTAACCACTAGACTCCACTCCCCATTTCTCTCCTGTAGGTCTCCGAAGAGGCGCAGGGATATCTTGGCGGTGACCAGCTCCGGCCACCCCCTCCTCAATGCCTCCTCTCTGGAGCCCCCAGGGAACTCGGCTCCCCATAACCGCACGGGCGCCGCCCCCAAAGCCCAGACGGATTTCCGGATCTTTGAGGACAAGGTGGTGCGGGACCGGGCGGTCATCTCCCAGCTGCGCCACTTCACAGAGTACCGCATCGACATCCACGCCTGCAACCACGCGGCCCACACCGTGGGCTGCAGCGCCGCCACCTACGTCTTCGCCCGGACCATGCCCGAGCGTACGTACTGGCCCGGCGGGGCGGGGGGAACAACACCAGGGAACCGTCCATTTGGGGCTTGCAGGGGGCTCAGGCAGGGCTAGTCACAGCTCATTCCCCTCTCTGGACACCTGCTTCACATCGGGGCTTTCAGGACCCCACACGTGCAATGAGTTTCCCGGGCTCAGCCTAGGGTGCTGGGGGATCGCAGTTCAGGTGCCTCTGCCTGATTCCAGGTGCGGCCCCGGGGGAGCAGGAGGAGGCTGCGGGTCGGGTTTGAAGGGCCCTGACAGAACGTGTGGATCTAGGTTTAGCTGGTCCTGCCACAGAACAGGGGGCTGGCCGTGGTGCCCTTCCCAGGGTCCCTTCCAGCCTGGGATGTCGGTGATGCTCTGGGGGTCCCAGGGCAGGGATGGCAGGGGGCGCTGTCGGTCCGATAGCAGGGCATGGAGTAGCAAGTTTCCTGCATTTCAGCCTCTGCTCCCCACCTGCTGGGGTTACTGGGAAGTCTCTGCTTTTCTCTTCCTTGTCCTGGAAGTGACGTGGGGGGGCCTAGGGCTGAGACCCCCCCCACTCCGCACACTGCTGCATGCTCAGGGAAGCTCCCGGCCTCTCCTGCTTTGCCCCTCCAGTGGAAGCGGATAACATCCCCGGCAACGTCACCTGGGAGCCGGCCAGCAAGAACAGTGTCCGGCTGCACTGGGAGGAACCCAGGAACCCCAATGGGCTGATCCTCAAGTACGAGATCAAGTACAGCCGGGAGCACGAGGTGACCAAGACCTGTTCCCCCTGCCCCACAAGCCTGCGTGGCCCGTGGCACCTGCCTGCTCTGCCCCACCCACCCCATCCCTCATGCCTCTTCCACTGTCTGCCCCCACCTGCTATGGCTCCCACTGATGGGTGCTGCTGCTGCATGTAGTCAGCTCTGAGGGTCCCCGGTTTGAGCCCCGGCGCTGGGCAAGATGGCAGCTGCTGCCCCATTGCAACCCAGCCATGGCTGGTTTCCAGCCCATTTCCTCACCAGCGGCTGTGTCGCTGCTGGGTGTCTCCAAAGCTCGGAGGCCAGTGCGGGCTCAGGGCGCCTGCCCTTGCAGGGCAACTCTGTAGTCCAGCATGGGCTCCTGCTTCAGGCTCCAGCGTGGCCTCTCTGGGGCATAGACCCATGTCGCTCTCCTACGAGGGGCAGTTCTGGGCTGCAGGGTCCCCTGTCTCCCCTGCAAGAGAGAGGGCCTCTCCTCACCACCCCTGGGGGCCAGCATCCTCATTACACCACAGCCTTTCTGAGGCATGGACCCCTCGGGGAGGCGTGACAGAGCAAAGATCCCAGCCTTGTGCCAATGAGATCCCCCCCTTCTCTGAGGGGGGGGGGCTGTGGGCCCCGGTGGAGTGACAGACTCAGGAGAACAGAACCACTTGCCTTGTTAATCCCAGGCGCGCCTCAAATATTGAACCCCTGCGTGGGTGCAGGGCACCTGGGTTCTTTCCAGGTTCTGCGTGTGTCAGCTCCTCACCCACCCCTGTGCTTTTCCGTCTCCTCCCACCTGGTTTCTCTCTAGGCTTTGAGCTGTAGGAGGCAGGCTCGGGCTTGCATAGGGTGTTGGAGCATCCCAGCCAGTCCTGGCTCTCGATGCTACCGTAATGCACCTAAAAACGATCCCCGAGCAATTCCGCACGGAGGCCGGCCCTGAGTCTGCAGGAACATCCGTGTCTCTTTCTCTCCCTGCCCCAGGAGGTCACCACAGTGGTGTGTGTCTCTCGCCACCGCTATGCCAAATACAGGGGCGTCCACCTCACCCTCCTGCAGCCGGGGAATTACTCCGCCAAGGTACGGGCCACCTCGCTGTCCGGGAACGGGTCTTGGACGGGACTCATCAAGTTTTACATCCTTGGCCCGGGTATGTATCTGGGGCAGGCAGACTGCAATTCCCGGCCCCAGGGCAGAACCGTGAATGGGGCCCCCCCCCCACTCACACACACCAGTCGTTCCGGCACAGACGTGCTCTGCCTGACATTGGGCAGCGTTCCACATGCCTGCCTGGTAGAGCTGCCAGCTGTCTATTCGCATAAACCCGAAGACCATTGCCGCCCTGCCCTGCCCCTTTCCTGAGGCCCCGCCCCTTCCCAGAGGCCCCACCCCTTTCCGGGGACCCCGCCCCTGCCTCACCCCTTTCCTAGGGCCACACTCTGCCCCGCCCCTATCCTGGGGCCACGCCTCTGTCCCACCCGTTTCCTGAGGCCTTGCCTCCTGCTGTCTCCATCCTTCTCCCTCTGTTGCTCGCTCTTGCCCACCCTGGCTCACTGTCTCCAGATTGGGGCACAGAGGGTTGGATGCAGAAAGGGACGAGGGGTGCAGATTCTAGGTAGGAGTTTGGATGAGGGAGGGGGTGGGGGCTCTAGGAGGGAGGGTGTTTGGGTGTGGGCTCTGGGCTGGGACAGAGATTGGGGGGCAGGGGCAGGAGGGGTGCAGAGTGTAGGCTCTGGGAGAGAGTTTGGGGGTGGGCTCTGGGCAGGGGGTTTGGGTGTGGAAGGGGGTGAGGGAGTGGTACTTACCTCGAAAGTGACCGGCACTCCCCTCTAGTGGTGGCGCCTGGGCAGGGGAGGCCAAGGGGGTCTCAATGCACCGCTGCCTCCAGGCTCAGCCCCTGCAGCTCCCATTGGCTGCAGTTCCCAGCCAATGGGAGCTGTGGAATTGGCTCTCAGGGTGGGGGCAGTGCGAGGAGACGCTCCCCCCGCCAGGGGCTTCAGGGACGTGCTGGCTGCTTCTGCAAATGGTGAGGAGCGAGGGCAGGCAGAGAGCCTGCCTTAGCCCTGCAGGCCCCTGGGCCCTTTCAAATTGCTCGGGCCCCTGGGAAATTGCTCACTGAACCCCCCCCCCCCACCATTGGTGGGCCTGATTGGGCTGTTTTAGTTCCAGCTCTCCCCAGCAGGGGGGCTAGCTGGGGCGGGAGCTCCTAGTGGGGCCCATCAGAGAGTGGAACTGGGGGGCGGAGGGGAAATTGCTGGCTACTCCTTTCCCTAGACAGCTGCCCTAGGGACTTGCTGGATCCCAGATCCTGCCCTGTGGAAGGATCCCTCAGGAAACCAAAGCCCCCTGCACAGGGCCTTCATGGCACTTCTGGCTCCTTGTTTTGCTTCTCAGTCCCCATGGCAGGCTCCTGGCAGCAGCTGGATTGCAAGATCCAGACTTTATGTCTCCAGGGGCCCTTTCCATCACACGCTCCATGCATCCTGCTTCATGGGGCTGTCCATAAATTACGTCACACATTAGGGAGTGGGTAGGTCCTTCATTTGGCATGTTTGTTTCAGTCTTACAAGGAATCCCAACAAATGTGTCATGTATTTTACAGGCAGCCCCTAACGTACCCCTGCTTTCCACACTCTCCCCTCAGCAGGACTGCCCCACGTGGGCTACCACCAGGGATGGCACCCACAACCTTCAGGACTGATGCGCGGAACTCTGCTGCCTCAGCTAAAGGAGTAGCTCCCCTAGCGGGCAGCTGTAGTAGGCTATTTTCCTCTATCAGGCCCAGCCACTGAACTCCATTAAGCTGGCAGCAGTAGTAGGCTGCAGTTCTTTATATGGACCAGCCATTTAACGCTGTTAGCTGCTGTAGTAGGTGGTTATCCCTTATATGGACCAGCCATTTAACTCCATTAGCTGCTGTAGTGGGTGGTTATCCCTTATATGGACCAGCCATTTAATTCCATTGGCAGCTGTAGTAGGTGGTTATCCCTTATATGGACCAGCCATTTAACTCCATTAGCTGCTGTAGTGGGTGGTTATCCCTTATATGGACCAGCCATTTAATTCCATTGGCAGCTGTAGTAGGTGGTTATCCCTTATATGGACCAGCCATTTAACTCCATTAGCTGCTGTAGTGGGTGGTTATCCCTTATATGGACCAGCCATTTAATTCCATTGGCAGCTGTTCTCCTCTCTGGAGAGCATCCACTGGGGTAGGAGAAGGGCCCAGCAGGGCCATGCTCTCTGTCCCCGAGTCCTAGGAGAGGGGGTGGCTCTCCTGGTAGCATCTCAGGAATGGGCTTGTTTATTCCCCTCCCCATGCAGCTGAGGAGGAGTCGGGCAGCTTCTACGTGCTGCTGACCATCATGCCCATTGCCCTCATGGTGCTGATCGCCGGCCTGGTCGTCTTCATCTTCTTCTACAATAAGCGAAGGTAGGTAACGCCGCTCGGAGCGGGGGAAAGCCGGGAGTGCGGGAGCCATTAGCTCTGGGCTTGGAGCCATAGTCACTTCTGGGACCTGGCTGTTGAGTCCTTTCCTCTTCCCAGTGTCTAAGCCGGGGAGAGGAGCAGCACAAAGGAGCCGGAACCCAGCTGGGAGAGATCCCCACCCCCCCGCCCTGTCATTCCACCCAGCACAGGGGGGATGTGGTGGGAAGGGGCTGTTCCCCAGCAGTGGGACATTTAGGGCAGACCCAGCTCAGAATTCATGCGGCACAAAGCCACTTCTGTTTCCTTCCCCTGCCGGGCAGAGCCTCCACATGGGGGCCCCCTGCAAGACCTGGGCCTCTCTTTCTCCAGTATGGCGAGAACTTGCTGGCATTTTTGCACAGCTGCCTGTGGCGAGGGGTCCTGAGCTATTTACAGGCAGATGTTCCAGTCCCCAAATGAAATTAACGGCAGGTTTTAACCAAGCAAAAGGAACTCCCTTTTTCTTCATCCAACCTGTGGAACTCCTTGCTAGAGGATGTTGTGAAGACCAGGACTTTAACAGGGTTCAAAAAGCGCTAGATAAAGTCACAGAGGACAGATCCATCAATGGCTATTAGCCAGGATGGGCAGGGAAGGTGTCCCGAGCCTCTGTTTGTCAGAATAGGTGACAGGGAGGGATCAGCTGGTGATTCCGTCAGAGGCTGGAAATGGATCACTGGATGATTCCCTGCTCTGTTCATTCCCTGTGAAGCCCCTGGCATTGGCCACTGTCAGAAGACAGGACACTGGGACACTGGGCTAGATGAACCTTTGGTCTGACCCAGCCTGGCTGTTCAGATAGAATACAGGGAGAGCATATTCTTCATCCACCAACCCAAGTTTAGGACTGGACACCCTTTGATTCCAGGTTCCCAGTGTTTACCCCATGGTCATGTCTAGGGCTAGGGTGCCATGCCTGGAAACAGACTGTGTTCTGTGCTTCCGAGCGTGCCAGAACTCAGCCAGACCAGCCGTGTATCTAGTAACTCAGTCTGGTATGTTGTGTATATTCACTAATCAGTTACAACGGCTCTTTCCAGGTGAGGTCAAATTTCCTTAAAAGCCACGTTCTTTGTGGGGAGGATGATGGGAATTGAGGCGGGCTGGGAGACGGAGGCACCAGGATTAAAGGATTTCCTTTGCAATCGTTGGCTTGCCCTTCCCCGATTTCCCCGCCTGTCCTCTGCAGAGGTGACCAGCCCCGATTCCCCGTGTCCGAACCTCCCCTGCGCCCGGAGCCTGGGAGTACGTGACAGTATCTCTCAGATCCCAGCCCAGATAGGGTGCCGCCTCCCTCCGTTTTATTTGCCTGGCCTAGTCCGAACAGGAAAACACCAGCTGTGAGCCTTAGATCTTGTCAGTTTTCAGAAAATAACCACCCCGCAGTCAGAAGAACCCTTAGCCATCCAGACCCGGCTGGCATGGCCCCTGCCGTGGCTGGTAGGAGTGGACAGCAGTCTGGCTTGAATAGGCCAGGCTGCTCCAGGCTTGTGCTGCCGACCGGAGCTATCTCGGAGTGCGACGGGGAGAACTGAAATCCAGGCGTGCATTTGATAGTCCTGGATCTCCAGGTAGCTCGCAGGGGCCAGATCCCTCCTGTCTTGGGTCCTGATTCTTAACTCCACAAAGGCCCCATGGTACGTCGCAGTGTAAAAGGGGTGTCAAGAGTCACTGCCTCCTGCCCCCCGAGCCCTGTGTGCTCCCAAAACGGGGCATGCAGGGGCCAGGGTGCCAATGGGAATTGGAGGCATGTGGAGGGGGTTTGGATTTTCACTGTTCGCATTTTCCCCCTGTAGCTGCAACTTCCCCTTGTGAACGTTCAGGAGCATTTTTTAAACGCCTCCTGGAACACAGGCTTGGCGCTAGGTGGGTGTCCTTGCCTCCCGAACGGGGCTTTCTGGTGGTCTGGAAGGGCACCGTGCCTTTGGGCAGCCATTGCACCAGGGCAGCTCCTTAGGACAATGGTTTTCACCCTTTTTTTCTCATGATCCCGTTGAAGAAAATCATTGGTGCTGCAACTCAGCAGAATGTGATTGGAGTGCAGGCTCCGGGTGGGGGCTGAGGATGGGACCTTTGGGCTGTAGGAGGGGCCTCTGGCTTCGGGGAGGTCAGGGCTGGCTGTCAGCGGTGCAGTGCGGGGGCTAAAGCAGCTTCCTGCCTCTCCTGGCATCACAGACCATGCTGCCCCCAGAAGCAGCCAGCGGAGCTAGTGCTCAGGGCAGGGACAGTGCACGGAGCCCTTTGTGCTTCCCCTCCCTCCTCCCTCACCTAGGAGCCGGGCCTGCTACCGGCCACTTCTGGGGTGCAGCACAGTCTGTGGTGCCCGGACAGGCAGGGAGCTGCCTGAACACCCCCACTGCTCACCTGATCCCCCTGCAGCAACGAGACCCAGCGCCCGACATTCCACCCCCCAGCCCTGGGGAGCTGCCCCTAGTTTGAAAACCACAGGCTTGGGATGTGATAGGTCGTGACGCCACTGCTGTCTGGAGTAAACGACCGTGCGCGGCGTGGGGCTACGGAGAGGCAGCCCCTTGTGCACATCCACTAAGAGCAAGGCGCTCCAGAATGGCTCCCCCTGGGCCGTCCTCGAGGGAGTTAGGCTGTGGAGGAGTTATGGCAGGCGCCGGCTAGCGGAATTTTCCACGCACTTGCTGTCCTGGCTGGACCTTGTGAAAGTGAGGCACTGATTTCTGTCCTGCTTTCCTCCCATCATCATAGGAACAATGACGGGTACCCCAGCGGCACTCTGTATGCCTCAGTCAATCCGGAATACTTCAGCACCTCGGACAGTAAGTACGGCCCTCTCCGGAGAGGGGCAGGGACAAGTTGGGCAGCTTCCAAGAAACAACTTCCCATTGCTGTTTCAAGGGGCCACTCGGGGATATTGCCACTTTATAGGTGGGGGAAACTGAGGCACAGAGCGGGGAATGGTCACGCCGGCAGTTTGTGTCAGTGCTGTCCACTTGTGCTTGAATCACTTGACCTTTCGGCCTTGCTCCCTCTCTCAGTGCAAGATAGGGGTCTGTGAAATCCACTCGGGCTGCTTCTCTGGCCCTGGTCCTACACTTGCTTGCATCCTTGGAGTGGCTGTAATGAGCCTGCTTCATTTTAGTGGCTGCGGTGGATGGCCAGGATCCAGCTGTCAGTAAGGCAGTCCCACAGTGGGTCACATGCCGGGGTTGATTTGCATGCGTTTAGCTCTTCAAAGCACCAGCCATCGGTCCCATCTCAGAGTCACCTAAAGGGTTAATTCCATCCCTGCACCCTTTAGCTTAGCCCCTGAAGTGAAACTCCAATCCTGTGGGCCCCAGCCCGGATGGAACCTGCAGCACTAACAGCTTGAGCTAAAGGAGCAGCTCCCTCAGCTGGTAGTAGTAGTAGACTTTAATTTGCTTTTATGGCTCAGCCACTAGAGGGAACCACAAAGCACCCTGTAGTAGCTTTGACATAAACCTGGCTTGTCTCTTCCTTGTCAGTGTACATACCGGATGAATGGGAGGTGTCACGGGATAAGATCACAGTGACCCGGGAGTTGGGGCAGGGGTCTTTCGGGATGGTCTATGAAGGGATCGCCCAGGACATCGAGAAAGAGGGCGAAGAGACGAAAGTGGCCTTGAAGACATTCAATGAACTGGCCACCATGAGGGAGCGGATTGAATTCCTGAACGAGGCCTCGGTCATGAAGGCGTTTAAGTGTCACCATGTGGTACGTGTGGGTCTGGTGGGGAAAAGACGGTGGAGGGTGGGGCAGGAGGGAGGATGGATTCTAACAAAGGCTGGTCATGATGAAGTCTCAGACCAAGACTGGATGCCTTTCGACAGGGTATCTTCTCTCAAGCTCAACCACAAGCACAACTATGTAGGGAGATGTTCTCTGGATACTAGATCAGATTAGAATCATCTCTTCTAGCTTTGGGCTCTATTCATTAGAAATATTGTGACCATTCTTAGACCTTTTCCCCTGCTGGTTGGGGTTGTCTTTCTTTCATCAAAATGTAACAGTTGGAACCTTTGAAGAAATTGTGACCGGCTCCTTGAAAACCAGGGGCATTCCCTAAAATGTTGTCTTATATTTTCCTCCTCTGAATTCACATTTCCCACGTGTTTCCATGAAATCTGAAAAATGTGGAGCAGCTCCTGTTTTAACTGAATGCAAGAGCTGGTTGAGAAACATTTTTCCCCGCGTGCAAAATGTCGACTCAATGAAACCGTTTCAGTAGAAGATTGTATTTTCTTTCTTGTGGGTTTCCATCAAAAAGCCAAAACCTGAAGGTTACGTCTACATGTGCATTGCTGCGCAAGAAGATATGCAAATGAGGCATGGCGATGAATATCGCCATGCCTCATTTGCATACCTAATGAGCCGCCAATTTTGCAGAAGGGGCTTTTGTGCAAGAAGGAGTTTATTTTCAGGAAGAACATCTCCTGCACAAGAGGGGGGTTTTACACAAGAAAGAGCACAAGAGGGGTTTTTTTGGGCAAGAAGGAGCAAAAGCCTGTGCTGCAAAAATGGCAGCTCATTAGGTATTCATCGCTGCTCCTCATTTGCATACCTAATGAGCTGCCATTTTTGCAGCACAGGCTTTTGCTCCTTCTTGCCCAAAAAAACCCCTCTTGTGCAGGTTTGTTCTGCCGCTTATTTTCAGGAAGAACGGCTCTGCGCAAAAGCCCGTGCCGCAAACTGGCGGCTCATTAGGTATGCAAATAAGGCACGGCGATATTCATCGTTGCACCTCATTTGCATATCTTCTTGCACAACAATGCACAGTGTAGACGTAGCCGAAGAGTTTCAGCTGAAAACCGGAAGGTTAATGATAGTCAAGATTTTTTTTGTAATGAAAACCTGAAAAAATGAATTGAACGTAGACCTTTTTCCTGCAGAAATTTCTATTTAAACAAAAAAGTCATTTTCTCTTGCATATGGAATACTTTCAACCAACCCTCCATTCCCTTTTAACCTCCCTCCACCATGCTCCCAGGCAATCGCCGTCACTTTCGCTATGGCAAAATGCAGGACAATGTAGCACTTTACAGACTAACAAGATGGTTTATTAGATGATGAGCTTTCGTGGGCCAGACCCACTTCCTCAGATCAAATAGTGGAAGAAAATATGGGAGCTTTACTTGAGCTAAAGTTGTTTGGTTTGGCCAAGGGGCCAGCATGGATATATCAGGCCAGACCATTTAGGCTACATCTAGAGTACAGCATCTAGACTACAGCCAGTACTTTCGAAAAAGCAAGCCACTTTTTCGAAAGAGAGCACCCAGGCAGTCTGGATGCTCTCTTTCGAAAAAGCACAGTTCGTGTTCCATAATGCCTTTTCTCGAAAGAGCACTTTCGAAAAAAGGCATTATTCCTCGTCAAATGAGGCTTTCCGCGATTGAAAAAACGGCCGCGTTCTTTCGATGTTCTTTCAAAAAAAGGGCCGCGTTCTTTCGATTTTCTTTCAAAAAAACGGCCACGTTCTTTCGATTTTCTTTCAAAAGAACGCGGCGGCAGTCTAGATGCAGGGGAAGTATTTTTGACAAAAGGCCACTTGGTTCGAAAAAACCCTGTAGTCTAGACACACCCTTAGATTGCTAACCTGACCTTTGTCTTTGTGGAACAAACCAGCCAATCAGGGTCCTGCCTCACAAGAGAGGCTGATGGTCTATCCAATCAGGTATCCAGCCCTACCGAACAGGGGGTTGGTTTGTCCAATCGGGGATACTGCCCCACAGAACAGCTCAATGGCTCATCCAATCAGGGACCTACTCCATAAGACAGGGCAATGGTCTATCCATTTGGGGATGCTGCCCCACAGAACAGCCTGATAGTTTATCCAGTCAGGAGCCTGCCCCACAAGACAGGGCAATGGTCTATATCTGATCATGTATCCAGCCCCACAGAACAGCCAGATGGTTAGTCCAATCAGGGGCCTGCCCCACAAGCCAGACCAGTGGTCCATGCTCTATCCTGGCCGCTGCTGTGTGAGAACAGACTCTTGTCCCATCGAGTTGGATATCAGGTCAGCTGCTGAATGGGACCAGGGCAGGGCTCTGGCTAGCACCAGACCCTGCCTCCTGCCCAGACTGGTGGCCCCTCGTGTCTGGTGACCCTTCCTCCTCCTCGGCCCCTTCTGGATCAGTCCCCACCGGCCTATGGACTTTGGAGCTGCTCTTCTAACCAGGGCCCCTCGCTCCTGTCTCTCCCTGGCTGTAGGTCCGTCTCCTCGGCGTGGTGTCCCAGGGCCAGCCGGCCCTGGTCATTATGGAGCTGATGACCCGAGGGGACTTGAAGAGTTACCTCCGCTCTCTCCGACCGGACGCAGAGGTGGGTGGCTCGTGGGCCGGGCCTCGTGCTGCTCTGCTCCCCGGGGCGGCAGGAGACGGGAGTCGAACCCAGACTAACACCCCGTCTCTCCTGGGGGCTGCTGGGACGGGCGGGGAGTGAGTGAGAGAACAGGTGGAAGGGACTCGCTGTCTGTGAACCCAGGGGGCTCGTCGGGGTGGGGCCGATGTCCCTGGGCAGGAGAGGGATGCCTGTTCCCCCCACTTTGCTCATGGCCAAAACTTTCCAGGCCTGGTCTGGAGGGGCCACGTCTGGACTCTATGGCCTACGGAGTCTGTGTCAGCACCTGTCCCTATAGGCTACATCTACACCACAGGGCTATTTCGGGAGACGGGCGGTACCCTGAAATCCCTATTCCGTGTCTTTTGAGTGCGCCCATTATTTCGAAAAATAGCAGGCTCACTATTCCGACATCCCGTAAACCTCATTCCGCGAGGAGTCAGGGTCGTTTCGGAATAAGTGCTGGGTAGACAGCGCCACATTTCGAAACAAGCTATTTCGAAATTAACTCGAAATAAGCTACGCAATGAGCATAACTCAAATTGCATAGCGTATTTTGAGCTTCAGGTGCAGTGTAGATGCTCCATTACTGTCTGTCTGTCCATCTTTCCCCATATACTCTATAACCATCCATCCCCATATACTGTCCGTCCATCCATCCATCCCCATATACGGTATAGCTGTCCATCCTTCCCCATACTGTCGTCCGTCCATCCGTCCGTCCATCCATCCATCCCCATATACGGTATAGCTGTCCATCCTTCCCCATACTGTCGTCCATCCATCCATCCATCCATCCATCCATCCATCCGTCCCAACCTTTTTTATTCAAGGGACCAGCAAACCCGTTCACAAACTTGCGGTGGACCGGCAACAGTTGTATATTTGCATATTCATTATGCAAATAACAAATATGTAAATAAACCATTTCCTGTTTGTCAAATACGTACTCCCACTCCCTCATACACTCCAACCCTGACCTCTGCGCCCCCCCTTATTATTTTATTCAGCCCCGGAGGCCAGAGCAGCCACCCACTGGACAGAGCAGATCCTGGCCCCCAGCCATGAAGCAGGTTCCATCCCCCTCCTCCCCGCAGCAGGTCCCAGCTCCCTTCAGCAGGCCTCAGCCTCCCCTGCCATGCAGCCATGGCAGGACCCAGCCCCCCCCCAAATGGCCACAGGTAGGCCCTGCCCCCAGCCACCGGAACAGGCCCTGTCCACTCACCATGCGGCCATGGCCTCATCCCCCTGCCAGCACTGCAGCTCCTCTCCACACGCCAGCCGGGCCATGTAGTGACTGTCGGAGCTGGGACTGGGGCCAGGAACTGGGGCCACTGTGAGCCTGCCCCAGTAAAGACAGTCTCACCCCGGCTCCGGCTCCGGCCCTGACCACCGCCCCACTCGTCCTGCTGCTGCATGGTGAAGTGGGCGGGAGGGAATTCCCTTATAGGGAACCCCGGCAGGCAGGGCTAATTAAAAGCTGGGGGCGTGGCCGGGCAATGTGCCACAGCCCGGCAAGCAGGGGGAACCTCTGCCCTCTACTGTATATCTGTCCATCCTTCCCCATATTGTCCATCCATCCATCCATCCCCATACTGTCCATCCATCCAGCCCTATATATTGTATATCTGTCCATCCTTCCGCATATTGTCCGTCCATCCATCCATCCATCCCCATACTGTCCATCCATCCAGCCCTATATATTGTATATCTGTCCATCCTTCCGCATATTGTCCGTCCATCCATCCATCCATCCCCATACTGTCCATCCATCCAGCCCTATATATTGTATATCTGTCCATCCTTCCGCATATTGTCCGTCCATCCATCCATCCATCCCCATACTGTCCATCCATCCAGCCCTATATATTGTATATCTGTCCATCCTTCCGCATATTGTCCGTCCATCCATCCATCCATCCCCATACTGTCCATCCATCCAGCCCTATATATTGTATATCTGTCCATCCTTCCGCATATTGTCCGTCCATCCATCCATCCATCCCCATACTGTCCATCCATCCAGCCCTATATATTGTATATCTGTCCATCCTTCCGCATATTGTCCGTCCATCCATCCATCCATCCCCATACTGTCCATCCATCCAGCCCTATATATTGTATATCTGTCCATCCTTCCGCATATTGTCCGTCCATCCATCCATCCATCCCCATACTGTCCATCCATCCAGCCCTATATATTGTATATCTGTCCATCCTTCCGCATATTGTCCGTCCATCCATCCATCCATCCCCATACTGTCCATCCATCCAGCCCTATATATTGTATATCTGTCCATCCTTCCGCATATTGTCCGTCCATCCATCCATCCATCCCCATACTGTCCATCCATCCAGCCCTATATATTGTATATCTGTCCATCCTTCCGCATATTGTCCGTCCATCCATCCATCCATCCCCATACTGTCCATCCATCCAGCCCTATATATTGTATATCTGTCCATCCTTCCGCATATTGTCCGTCCATCCATCCATCCATCCCTATATATTATGTATCTGTCCATCCTTCCCCATATTTTCCATCCATCCATCCATACTATATATCTGTCCATCCTTCCCCATACTGTCTGTACATCCATCTATCCATCCAACCAACCTTACACATTCTATGTGTCTATGTCCCTACTTGTCCGCACTGCCAATCTTCTTGGCCATCCTATGGGTGATTTAAATTTCTCTGAGACAGAAATACACCCCACCTTTGAGAGAGGGCATTGGAAGCTCTCTGGGGCAAGGACCATCTCTTTGCTCTGCATTTCTACAGCACCTTTGTTAACAAAGATGTGGACAAGGGGGACCCAGTGGCTATAGTGTACTTAGATTTCCAGAAAGCCTTTGACAAGGTCCCTCCCCAAAGGCTCTTAAGTAAAGTAAATTGTCATGGGATAAGAGGGAAGGTCCTTTCATGGATTGATAACTGGTTAAAAGACAGGAAGCAAAGGGTAGGAATAAATGGTCAGTTTTCAGAATGGAGAGCTGTAACTAGCAGTGTCCCCCAGGGGACTGATCCTATTTAACCTATTTATAAATGATCTGGAGAAAGGGGTAAACAGTGCGGTGGCAAAATGTGCAGATGATCCAAAACTGCTCAAGATTGTTAAGACCAAAGCAGACTGTGAAGAGCTTCAAAAAGATCTCACCAAACTAAGAACTCACAAAATGGCAAATAAAATTGAATGCTGATCAATGTAAAGTAATGCACATTGGAAAAAATAACCCCAACTAAACATACAATATGATGGGGGCTAATTTAGCTACAACTATGAGAGAGATCTGGGAGTCATTGTGGATAGTTCTCTGAAAACATCCACGCAGTGGGCAGCAGCCATCAAAAAAGCAAACAGAATGTTAGGAATCATTTAAAAAGTGATAAAGAATAAGACCGAGAATATCTTATTGCCTATATAAAACCACGGTACGCCCACATCTTGAATACTATGTACGGATGTGGTTGCCTCATCTCAAAAAAGATATACTGGCATTGGAAAAGGTTTAGGAAAGAGCAACAAAATGATTAAGAGTTTGGAACTGGTCCATTATGAAGAGAGATTAAAAAGACTCGGGCTTTTCAGCTTAGAAAAGAGGAGACTAAGAGGGGATATGATCAAGGTCTATAAAATCATGAGTGGTGTGGAGAAAGTGAATAAGGAAAAGTTATTTACTTGTTCCCATAACATAAGAACTAGGAGTCACCAAAATGAAATTAATAGGTCGCAGGTTTAAAACGAACAAAATGTTTCTTCATGCAGCGCATAGTCAACCTGTGGAACTCCTTGCCAGAGGATGTTGTGAAGACCAGGACTTGAACAGTGTTCAAAAAAGAACTAGATACATTCATGGAGGTTAGGTCCATGTATTAGCCAGGATGGGTAGGAATGGTGCCCCTGCCTCTGTTTGCCAGAAGCTGGAAATGGGCGACAGGAGAGGGATCACTTGATGATTCCCTGTTCTGTTCAATCCCTCTGGGGCACCTGGCATTGGCCACTACTGAAAGACAGGACACTGGGCTAGATGGACCCCTGCTGCTAGCCACTGCCACAGTATGGGTAATAAAATACTAATTTTAGTTCCCAGCTGGGCTGGGTCTCCCAAGCCCACAACATTCAAACGTGGGACTGCCAGGCCTCCAGTCCAGGGGCTCGTTCCATAGAAATTCCTTGGATGTTGAAAGAGGGACTTGCACACGCACCCCTCCGCAGCCCCATGACCTTCATCCCCCTCCATTTGATGTGTCACTTCAGAACAACCCTGGCCTGCCCCTGCCCTCACTCAAGGAGATGATCCAGATGGCGGGGGAGATCGCTGACGGCATGGCCTACCTCAATGCCAAGAAGTTTGTGCACCGGGACCTCGCCGCCCGCAACTGCATGGTGTCGGAGGACTTCACGGTGAAGATCGGAGGTGGGTAATAGACATCTCTGTCCTGGGCTGGCCTGGACCCCATCAGCCTCTGCTGTCCTGGGGCTCAGCCCCTTGCGGGATCAGCCCCTCACTTTATCACCTCCTCTGTATGTGGAGAGTCCATGGACATTTTGCTGGCCCCAAAGTCTTGGAGAGTTTGGGCCAAGTCCCAGGCTGAATCGCCGGACTTCTTGGAAACAGGGCCTCCCTGAGTGTCGTGTGGTTCGATTTATTTTAGATCCAAGGGAAACCAGGACACTCCGGGGCTACTGAATCACTTTCTTATTTATCGCAAGCTTGAAGCAGTTAATACAGTGGTTTAGGTTTTCCAAGCCTTAAAAGCAATTTAAACCTTAAATACTATAAATTCTAAAGCAATTAATACAGCGCAAAGCAATGCAAAAGCAATTAGAAGAAGATCTACTATAATCAGGGCTTGACCAACGGCGGCGAAATCTACTCGCCAGCCCTGCACTGCGCATGCGCAAGTCTTGCATTGTGCACGCGTGCGCCGCCAGTGAACGGGGCGACCGGCCACGGGCGAGTAGAAACAGCAATTTGTTGAGCCCTGACCATAACACAATAATAAAGCCTAATTCACTTACACTTCACCCGTATGCTACCTACAGTGCCAGGCAGGAGGTTGTGGCTCCTTTTCTTCCCACGCAATGGAACACCGTGCACTCTATCGCCGGTGTGAAGGGCCTATTTACTTCTAGTTGCATCGAGTAGGATGTGTGGGTCATTCCTGTCCATTCCCTCCCACCGATTGTTCTTACTAAGCCCATTTTTAGAGCAAAGCAAGACATGGTCGTTCTAATAATAGTTACCAATTGGTTCCGTATTGTGTAGGACACGGCAAATGCCCAATGTCCCTATTTGGGGTATTTCCTGCTCAGGATGTTGCTGCTCTGTGTGCAGTTGAGAGGTTTATGACTGCATCTGTCATTTTTGCGGATCAGAAACAGAAGAATCCGGGCAAGGCTGCTTGTCCTGTGTTCTTGACGGGGTCTCATGTACCAGGCTTAATCTGCATTGTTATGCAAAAGAATTCCTTCCTCTCCTGCAAGATGTGCGCATTTGCACCAGCCTTGAGACAGGCCTTAAAGGCAGACATCACCGTTTATTGCCAAGGCAGGGTAGCGCAGGCCGCCTCACACTGAACAGAGTCCATCTCTGCTCTGGGCTACCTGCAGGAGGGGCTGAGCCCCACTGAAAATGGGGGTGAACACGGCCCATTTCTGAATGCCAACTCCCCTGCTGTGTTTTCTTCTCTGCCTAGAAAGGCAGAACTTTTTCTGCTGCTTAGTGCACGAGACACGGAGCCTGAACTCCTGGTGTGGCCACTGACAGGGCAAGCGATCTTGGGCAAGATGAACAATAGAGGAGGCTTTGTCAGGACATCACTCCCTGCCTCCTTGTGCCGCAAGAGGGGGAGGCTCTGTGGAGTGTTACTAGCGGAGAGCCAGGTCCTAGAGAATGACCCTTTTCTCCCCATCTCCTTCTTCCCCAAAAGATTTTGGCATGACCAGAGACATCTACGAGACGGACTATTACCGGAAAGGCGGCAAGGGGCTGCTTCCCGTCCGCTGGATGTCCCCAGAAGCCCTGAAGGACGGGATCTTCAACACCCACTCCGACGTCTGGTAAGCCTCCGAGGCGTCAGGGCCGTGGCGACAGACCGTCTGGTCCAGGATCCCCCTCCCAACTCTGGGAAGACGGGATCCTCCCATATTGCACCTGGCCGGCACATCAATACTGGATGGAGCCTGGCAAAGGGAAATTCATGATGTGACGGAGGGCTGCGGTGTGGCGATTTCTCTGGGGGTGGCAGGATCGGCTGGGGCGGCCCCATCTCCATCGATATGCCCAGAGCTGCCTGTGTGTCCCGGCAGGTCGTTCGGGGTGGTGCTGTGGGAGATCGCCACGCTGGCCGAGCAGCCCTACCAGGGCATGTCCAACGAGCAGGTGCTGCGCTTTGTGATGGACAACGGCGTCCTGGAGAGGCCTGAGAACTGCCCGGACAAACTGTAAGTTGCTCCAATGGCCCGGAGTCAGGGAAGAGCCTGTCCATGGACCCAGGGCGGAGTCCCAAGGAAGGGGGGGCTGCCTCAGTTTCCCCTGCCCATCCTACACTGGACTTGAAGCGTTAAGGACCAGATCCAGACATTGTTCCACTCTGCTTGGCTCGCACGCCGGCATCCAACTCATGTGGATGGGGCCTAGACCGTGACCTTCCCGGGGTCTGTAAGACCCAAAGCTGAGGAGAGCACAGTCCTGTAGGCCCCTTTGGTTTTCGCCTTGCACAGCGGCGAACGGGAGGCAGGCCTAGCCTTAGACCGTGACCTTCCCGGGGTCTGTAAGACCCAAAGCTGAGGAGAGCACAGTCCTGTAGGCCCCTTTGGTTTTCGCCTTGCACAGCGGCGAACGGGAGGCAGGCCTAGCCTACTGTCTAGCAAGACGGACTCCGCCGGCTCTGACTGGTCCCCAGACAGCAGCCTC